TTTCATCGAACCTGGCAAACCTGTCTTGGTTCACTGTGACATGAAGAACGAAGGTAGGGTAACACAATAAAGCAGGACTGCTAGGTAGGATCGTAAGGGTGACCGTCAAGGTGAGAGCTGACCTGAAAAACACTGTAAGTTACCATTTCAAGAAAATTTTGAGATTCACTGAAATTTCTTGAATTTTTTCCATTTATTTATTTATTTTTTTCATATCTATCTTCAGCACTTCTATGTTCGAGGTAACTAGTCCCGAAGTAACAAAAAACTGCTGTTTCAGCCCTTAGAAAGTTGACATTAGGCAGGGTATCCAAACTGATCATACATCTTACAAGAAAAAACAGCAAACTAAAATAAAATATGTCGATTTGAAATCTAATCCACGTGTAGCCGCACTCTTCCCCTTCCCCATCCCAAGGATAAACAGAAAGGAGGAGACGTCTACGAAAAGCTGAAACAAATCGTGTTCTGTGACGTTACTCTAATCTATGGAAAATTACCTTGATAATATTAAAAAGTAACCTAGGTATACAACAACATTATTGAAGTGAAATAATTTTCCGTCATCTCGGGTAATTTTGCTTTTGAGTATTCGCGTTTAAATCCGTATACTTTGCTTTTAGGATATAGAAAAAGATTATGAGTGACTTTGGTAAAGAAGTGAGAAAAGGATGATGTCGTAGATTTCAAGGTTCACACAATCAATCAGCCAATCAGAATTCACAAAAGCATTCGACGAAAAGACGGGCAATAGAAAGTCATTATTTATTTTCTTGCAAAAGAGTGACGTCACAGAACACGATTTCTGTCAGGTTTTTGAGGAAGTTCCTCCCTCCCTTCCGTTTCTCCTTGGGGGGGGGTACGATTTCTGTCCGGTTTTCAAAGACATTCCCTCCCTTCCGTTTCTCCTCGGGGGGGAGAGGGTACGGCTGCACGTAGGTCAGATTTAAAATGTAGAGAGATGTTTGACTCTTCTAGAGTAGCTTTCTCCTGAGGCTTCCTTATTTTATAATTTGAAATCTCAGGGAACTACCGTAAGATATGCAATAAGAAGATGAAAAAAATATTCATGTTAATAATTCAAAATTAGACTAAATAAGAAATTTGAAGACAAAAGCAAACNTATCTTCAGCACTTCTATGTTCGAGGTAACTAGTCCCGAAGTAACAAAAAACTGCTGTTTCAGCCCTTAGAAAGTTGACATTAGGCAGGGTATCCAAACTGATCATACATCTTACAAGAAAAAACAGCAAACTAAAATAAAATATGTCGATTTGAAATCTAATCCACGTGTAGCCGCACTCTTCCCCTTCCCCATCCCAAGGATAAACAGAAAGGAGGAGACGTCTACGAAAAGCTGAAACAAATCGTGTTCTGTGACGTTACTCTAATCTATGGAAAATTACCTCGATAATATTGAAAAGTAACCTAGGTATACAACAACATTATTGAAGTGAAATAATTTTCCGTCATCTCGGGTAATTTTGCTTTTGAGTATTCGCGTTTAAATCCGTATACTTTGCTTTTAGGATATAGAAAAAGATTATGAGTGACTTTGGTAAAGAAGTGAGAAAAGGATGATGTCCTAGATTTCAAGGTTCACACAATCAATCAGCCAATCAGAATTCACAAAAGCATTAGACGAAAAGACGGGCAATAGAAAGTCATTATTTATTTTCTTGCAAAAGAGTGACGTCACAGAACACGATTTCTGTCAGGTTTTTGAGGAAGTTCCTCCCTCCCTTCCGTTTCTCCTTGGGGGGGGGTACGATTTCTGTCCGGTTTTCAAAGACATTCCCTCCCTTCCGTTTCTCCTCGGGGGGGAGAGGGTACGGCTGCACGTAGGTCAGATTTAAAATGTAGAGAGATGTTTGACTCTTCTAGAGTAGCTTTCTCCTGAGTCTTCCTTATTTTATAATTTGAAATCTCAGGGAACTACCGTAAGATATGCAATAAGAAGATGAAAAAAATATTCATGTTAATAATTCAAAATTAGACTAAATAAGAAATTTGAAGACAAAAGCAAACATTTCCAAAAGACAGTGCTTCAGGATCAATGTATATTTTAGCTCTAAATGAGTTTTTTTTTAATTCTTCTACAGATGCTGACGAATGTAATACCTCCATTCGTGTTTGTGATGAGAACGCCGATTGCAAAAACACGTTGGGATCGTATCTTTGTTCTTGCAAAGTCGGTTTTTCTGGAGATGGACATAATTGCAAAGGTAGAAAGAGGTTTCATCATCGAACTTAAATCGTTCACAGAACGATTTAAGTTCGATGATAAACTTAAATCGTTCACAGAACGATGATGAACTTAAATCGTTCACAGAACGATTGCGGTGTGAGTGAACTTAAATCGTTCACTCACACCGCAAATGCTCAATTACAAATAAAATTTGGTCTTTCGTCAAGCAAATTTGGACATCCCCGCGCCAATTTATCCTTTATCGGATTCAGAGCCAAAAACAATTCCGGTACGTCTTTTACTGTTTTTTTTAATTGCTCATTTACCATCTGCATCAACTTGCCAATTTAAAATCTCTTCAGATATTGATGAATGTGCCAGCGGTGTACACGACTGCCACGATTCAGCCTCATGTACCAATATCGCGGGATCATTCAACTGCTCATGTAACCATCCGTACGTCGGAGAAGGAAGATCTTGCAATATTCCGAGCCCATCAGGTAAATGGCTCAGGTCTTCAAAATATATATCTTGTATCTTAACTCTTCGTGTAGAGCCCTACAGCTGTTACTGTGACTATTCTTTCAGGCAGGAGTTCGCTGTCGGGTAAATGTAAACAATTACGCAGAAGGTAATCAAGCAATTAGCACAAAATAGAAACTTCCTTCACTCGAAGATTTTTGATTTAGCTGTCTGTGAAAGTGGAGTGAGATGAAGCAAATCCTGCGTTCTGATATGGGCTACCCTGAAGAGATATCTTAACTTGATCCCAGAGGATACAAACTTCAGCAACGTCAAAACAAAGAAAGCTTTGACGAGTTTTCATGAATTTAAATGGTGTAATTCTTTCATGTAGTCTTTTCGCCATGAAATAAATCCGCTCTTGACCAGTCCGGGTCATAAACAGTTTATACCATTTCCTGTGATATGATTGGTCTACACAAAGCTAAAACAAACAAATATAGCTGAGAGAAGATTGGAATGATACATTTTTTTTTGCTAGCTTTTTCGTGGCGGCCAAGTTGTAATGCAAAAGGACGGCACTTGAACATAATTCAAAATTTTTAAGAGAGATACTATTGACTTATTTATTCATGTATTACTGTATTACAAATCTAATTTTTGACAAAGATGTCATCCTTGTTCTCGCATCCCACTATGTGTTGCACGTTCGTGTATTTTGCTCGCCGTGTTTTGTTATGACCTCTGCAATACCGTTTCCGGTTTCCGTTTCCGGTTTCCCGTTTTCGCTATTTATTACACGTTCGTGAATTTTGCGCGCAGGGTTTTGTTATGACCTCTGCAATACCGTTTCCGGTGAGATGTCTTAAAGACATGACCGATCAAATGACGTATTTATTTCTCATCTGCAATTTTCACTTCAATGTTAAAGGAAATTTGGTCGTGATAGAAGTAGTTGCACATGAATTTCAGGAAAACACTTCTACCAGCTTTAGGCGGCGGTTGTTTGTTTGCTTGATTTGAAGGACGTCCTCCATTTTTTTTTCTCACAAGGGCAGTCTTCTTCACGATGAGATGTTCACAGAAAAAGATCGTTTGAGGTGGAAATAATTTTTTGTTGATTTGAAGTTTTTCAGACTCGATAGTGTATTTGTTTGCATTCGAGCAGACCCTTTTGTGATGAGCTTTCCTCAGAGTTCTGGTCGATATTATTTTAAATTGCACCGAAAGTTCATTTTTTAATAGGCCTTGTTGCACTGTCTGCAACATTAATTTTTTCGACTTTGTCATCAGCGAGACAAGGAGATTCGTTATGTCAAACAAAAAATTTCTGGGGGTCAGTGGCACTTTAAAGAGCCTTCGCACTTCTCGCTAAGAGTAGGGAACATTGCTTCAAGCTGAACTGAGCCCGCTTGTCTAAATAAATGAATCCCATTTGAAGGTTCGTTTCGCTTTTTTGAATTTCTTCAATCATGTCTTCTTTGTCTATTTTAGAATGCCAGAACTATCAAAGTCTGAGAGGGGTAGACAGAAGGATCAATTACACCAATCAGGACACGATTTGCGATTATGGACTTGAGGGTTGGTACCGTTTTGAAGGAGCAGCAGGCACAAGAATGCCTACTTCATGTCCGCCTAAACACAGATGTAACTCTTATGCACCCGGTTGGGTAAATGGCACGCATCCCGCAGAGGCTGATGGTCAGGTCATCAGGACGGTTTGCTTCCACTGGTTGTCAGACTGCTGCAACTGGTCAAGGTATATCAAAGTGAGAAACTGCGGCGGTTACTATGTTTACTACATAAATGGTACACCTTGGTGTTCCCTCCGTTATTGCACCACAGACTAAACAGAGACTGGTTCAGAAAAATTATCGGTTTTTTCCTAAGAGTGTTCTCGTTAAAATGCTTACAGTCTACTGTATTAGGGCTTTAGTCCTTATCCCAGGTAGAAAGCGAGGTTTGACGGTTATACTTGGGCCTTCCTTTGTATGAGAAAAAATGCTCTCTCACTGTTTGTAGAAGTTTTTCAGAAAGTTGGAAACTTAAGTGATGAAGAAGTTGGTCTGAGTGAGATATTCGAAATTAAAAGATAAATTATACGCATTTTTATCTCTTTCGTTTCAGAATTCCAGAGGGGTGAAAGAGGGTCTTACCAGGGTTAACCGTTAGACGTAAAACTGCCAATAAATTCAGCTGTTGGGCCTAACAATTGAAAAATTTTAACTGTTACTCAAAAACAAATTAACCGTAAAAAAATTTTTTTGGTGCCCATAATGAAAGACGTGAACCGCTTGCCGTAAATTGGCCACAGTTGTAACCGTTAACTGTAGAAGCATCACCCTATTCGGACCCTCATTAAAAGATGCTCTTGAGGTTCTTGGAGCCTTATTATGATTTTAAAGGGGGGACATTCGCATTGAAAAGTTAAAACGGTGGAATATCAGAAGGTAGACAGATACAAGCATGACTTAATGTTAAGAACAAAATTGTCTTTAAAGACGTTGTGATAGTCCATTCTAATGCTAAGCTACTTAACCACAAAATGTACCGAGAAATTTTGGTCAGTTAGCTAGAGAAACACCCAAAATAAGTTTAGGTTAAGTTTACTTAAGTGCAAACCATATTTCGCTTTTTAAAGGTGCTAAGGACTATTCTAGTCTTTCTGGTGATATTAAGAGTATTGAGAATTTGACTTCGACATTCATTTCTTAACCCGCAAATCACATAAGATTTCACATTTAGGCGATCAACCACCCCACCACGTGATCTCACTTATGATTCTCTCTCGATTTCTAACATATTAACTCGTTTCATTAATGCCAGTCCTACATTTTTTAGTATAGATAATATATTATCATGTTATTGCTCTAAATTATTATGCGTGTGAGCGACTGTTTCTTTGTATATACTTTCATTCAATATCTTTAACTTCATAGTAGAGTTATTTCGTTAGTGTATTCATAAAATATTTATTCCCTGCAAAGGGAGCCGTAAATAAAGTGTGCAGTCGGGTATCTATTAAGCAAAAACAATAAAACTCGGGCTTAGTGAATAGTATTCAGTATTATGGAATGTTTCTGTAACAAAGGGTTTTTCAAATAACAGGCACCGTTTATTACTGTTCCTGATTTACTAAAAAACAGTTAAAAAATATATATTAGAAAGCGTCTGATAGAACTTCCTTTCTAAGTCACTTTAAAAAAGTAAAACGGGACTAACCTAACCTCATTATTTTGGTTCAAAACAAATGATAAGATTGATTTAAATATTTAAGAATTATCTCCGGTAGGAATAGAAAATTTTAGGAAATGAACAATTTTATCCCCCCTTCAAATTCTGCATGCAGTTAGGGACTCAGAGGGATGCATAAAAATGCCCTTTATAAAGGTTGCATCACTCTTGTTGCCATGGCATCTTGGCTGCTTGTTCGCGGCTTGGGAGCTGATTTTCATACAGAAACATCGCTGAGAAAGGGTAAAATGTTTATTTCTCTGTCTCAATTTCCATATAATATTTCAAACTGGTACCACTACCATATATATATATATATCTTATTAAACGTTTTGCTGTGTAGTATCGCCGAGTATTTTTACGAGTTGTGCGTTATTTTGACGAGCCTGTAGGGTGAGTCAAAATTCAAGCATATAGATCGGTTTTCCTCTCTTTTAACGATTCAGCGAGGGACTCAATCCGGGGTAGCTTTGACGGCTAATTTTTCCGATTTTGACTGCTGATGGTTAAATTTTTGGTCTGATGGTAATCGGAAAAAAAAAATTTTGGATGAGTTTTCCATCATTTGATGTAAATTTCTATAGACCTGACTCCTTAAGCTGGATTTGTCGAGGCGGTTTTCTGCAGCTCTTGTCTCCATTTTGCAATAATTGAGAACGGATCTCTATGCTTTCTCTGAGCTTTTGTCACCCATCCTGATAACATGGCCAAAACTGCGAAGTCGACTCTATTTAGGGTCTGTTCACCTCAAGGTTGGGGACACCAGGTAAGTGAGGTAACCCGCCTTGCTGTGGTCCAAAAATAGCCCGCGTTAACACTTAATCTTACAACCCTGGGATACTGGGGTGAGGTTGTTGGAGCGCGTGTAAATGTAACATGCACGTTACCCAGCTTAGCGGGTAACGTTCATGTTACATTTACATTTAGGTAACGTTTTTTTTGTCTACGAGGCAAATTGCGACCCTGGCTGACAGTGTTACCTCCGCTTAGGCAGGTGACCCACCTGTCATGTAAACTTGATCAATATAAGGAAAGGCGTGTTACCCCACCTTTGTTTGTTACGACACCCACCTACTTTAAACCTGCAATAAGGACATACAAGTTGAAAAAGAATTGGGAATAGTCATTACATAGAGATTTCAAATGGCTTCAAAGTAGAGGTTCCCTAGCTTCATATACGCAGGCCCTTAATTTTCCTTTTCCAATATATCCACACTAGCCAGTCCAAAATCTACTTGCGTACTTGCAATCACTACATTTCTAACGTAGTGATTCCATTGATCTGATCTGATTTATTATGGTAGGTAGATGAAGTTTAAGTATTGTGCCGGTAAAGTAAACATTTGATGATGGTACAAGTCCATGTTTTATTACAGTTCAAGAATAAACTGTGCTGTGGCAAGGGTGGTGAGGTAAATTATAAATCAAAATTTGCCGAGGCTTTAGTTTGCCGTTAAGATCTTGTAGCGGAAAATCTAGTCGTAAAAATCCCCTTAACTTTTCATCTCCATTTTCGATGAATTCAATTTCCGAGTCCCTTTCCGGCGTACTCATGAAACTTTGTTGATTCAAGTCCATCGCTGGTTTGTGGTATACTTATGTCGCTGACAAAAGGTATAGTCGGCCAAAAAATTCCTATGGAATAAAGAATTGTATCGCCTCCCTCACAGTCGTCATAGAAAAGAATCTTTTTACATATTGCTAAAGGAAACCTATCCCGACAGCCCCTGTATTTCATTGGTGTAATTACACCTATGACTTCCGCCGGCTCGAAATAATATTGCGTTACTTCCAATNTAATCCATATCCATTAACTTGTCTTAGATAAAACGCTTACCAGAAAGCCTGAGATTGTAATCTCTTGCCATCAATTCATTACTACGAAGATTATTCTCCTATGAAAAGTTCACTGATTTTTAAAAACAAAACCCTTGGAAACCGCTACTGAACAGTTAGACCCTCCCTTCGCTTCATTGTTTATCGATATAAGAGCCATTGACCGTATATATCGAGAATCCGCCTACAGTTGCAAATTTTCGTAATTCATTTTACATTTTCTAAAGGACCCCTTTAATTAACCTTTTTCGAAAATTATATCAAAAAGTTCTATCGCACTTTTTTTTCTCCGAAAAATTGAAAAGTTTAAAATACGCCTAAATGGCCGTAATGAAAAATTATGCAACTTCTGCAACTTCGTACGCTACAACGCGATGCAATCCCGCTTTTAAATTTTGTGTGCTAACAGATGGTCTTTTTATCTCTTAGAGATTATTAATTTCTCAGCTTTCTTGTTACGTTAAGCCTGAATAGTGACCCGTTGAAATAAAGTACTTTGCGTCTCTTTCGCGGTGGTAAAATAAAGGTCAACTTTAGGGGGCTATAAACAGGTCTGTCATATATACTTACAAATCACAATGTACATGATCGTAAAGCTGTATCTTTGTATTTTTATTCCTCCAATTCTCTATCTTGGCCCACCATAAGCGGCACGTCCAGCTTTAAAAGAGTTTGAGCTATTTTGTCAAAATTGCAATGCGAACCGCTGAATAGCTGTCACGACCCATTTAAAGGCCTTTAATAAGGTCTTGTGTGATGTATTTACAGCCGAAAATATAATGCTCGTAAACCGTCGAATACGTTGCCCCACAAATTTTCCTTGAGCCGGGAAACTCTTTGTATTTTCACAGAGTTCACAAGCCAAATACGCCATTTTCAAGTAGCCCTATTTTAGGAAGATACAAGTCCTAGTAACTGCACGATTTGGCCGCCATTTTCCTTGTTTTGACGTCTCCTTTGGTCTTCTGGGATAGAAAGGTACCAGGCCTTTGTCCCGTGGGTTTTACGAAAATAGAAATAAAGAAAGTAGAAA